TTGCCCTAAGCCTTGTTTCCTATTGGAAAGAGCCTGACTTAACATGTGATCCCTAGAAATAATTTTTTGGAAAAACATTCAGAGTATGTATGGAAAAACAGCAACTGTAAAACAATTTTTACATAAGCTATTTCGAACAAATAGGTTTTGATTTTTTTTTTTTTTTAAACTCTGGTAAGAACATTTCATCCTTCCAGAATATAAAACTGGTTGAGCGGATCCATCTTTGCAAACTGTTCCTGAGTTTCAGGAGGTCAAGCAGGACGATCTGCCCTACTTATTAACATATCAGAACCTAATGCTATGGGTGACAACCGTTGGCATTCAGAGTGTTTACAGTCCCTGAAGCGCTCTGGGTCCTCTCCAGTTTAAATACTACTAGATCCTCTTGCCCACTCAGATTCATCATGGTAATATAAAAAAGTCCCGTTTTCAAGTTGTGGGGCAAGCTGGTTGGCAGACCACACAAGGGACAGATTAAGAAAGAAGCTGAGAAAGAAGGTGATTCAGACAGTGCACTTTTACAACCTTCACCTACTTTCCCGGGGCTAGCCTCTGCCTTCCTCACTTAGCCATCACGATAGTTTCAGGTCCCAGAGCTCTTCGCTATAAGCCTGGAGAAGCCAAGAAAAGTGAGGTGCCAGGAACATGGAACGGCAGTATGGGTTCTAACCGCCATAGCTCTAATAACAAAGGTCAAAACCTGTGAAGAAGGCCATGATCGCCCCTGCCTTGTGACACAAAGGTGAGGTTTATAGAACTCCCACTGGTTTAACTCTTTTACGTCACGCAAACAATGTAATCTGAAAGCAGCCATCTGAGATAAAGAAGAATTGCTCCGCTCCACACCAAATCTACCGATACCCACAAGCTATTTTAGACAGAGCTCTTCTTCTAACACTCATTAATAAGAGGAAAATTCCAACAGATTAAAAGCTGAACTGGGACATTTTATTCAAGGAAATTAGAGGTCCATTTCTCAAGCCACCATCATTAAAGGAATCCCGTCTTTTGTAGCTCAGTAGGTCTTAAAATAGGATTTGGTAAACGTGTGTGGATGGAGGTGTGTGCTTGCCTGGACGCAGGCAAATGGATCAGGTGAGCCTCTCTGGTCAAGATTCAAGCTGGGATTCAAGATTTTATGCTGAAACTACTTGTATACATCAACAGCCCCTACTTGGGGATAGTACGGTTACTTTAAATGGATCTATATGTAAGACTGAGTAGTATCTCCAAATCCAGTTATCTTAGCAATAACTATTACACAAATCCCAATAAGAAAAGGTGTGTAAATCAATCTTGCTGGTTGAATTTGAACCTACTCACATACTCTAGCTTTATCATTTGCTAGTCAGTATCTAGAACTGAGTCCCAAAACTACAAGAGAAACGCAGAAGAGTATCTGGCTTTGCCTTTGTGTAGGTGATTACATCATCAAGGGAGCGGGATGGGTTATTTCCTTCCTGCACATCTCTAGAGAATTGAGAAACTTTTTGAGGTGCTAAGCACCTAACAGGCCAAATCAGAATCTTCTGCATTGTTTTGTTTATGGGTGGCAGTGATTAAAACTAACGGTCAGCAAACCACAGCTCGCAGGCCAAATCCTAGTCCAGCACCATCTTCAGAAGGCCTGTGAACCAAGAATGCTTCCACATTTTGCAATAGTTGAGGAAAGAATCAAAGAAGAATATGTCATGACAAGTGAAATTTAAATGACACTCAAATTTCCATGTATATAAATAAAATTTTATTGGCATGCAGCCACGCCCATTGGTTTACATTATTGTCTAGACCACATGCCCTGCAAGGCTGAAAATATTTACTACCTGGTCCTTTACAGCAAAAGTTTGCTGGTCTCTCTGATCTAGACAACTACAATAGTAGTATCAATTGCAATGGTAATATCAATATCCACTACAATAGTGTTATCAATTTTCAAATATTTGTCCCCATCTTCAAGCTTTACTTCCTTCATTTATAATCCTAAAAGGAACTCATCTGAAAATGTTAAGCTAAAAGAAATAAAATCCAGCAAGAGTGTCATCTCTAGCCAGTCAATGTGAGGGTGAAATCCATTTAACATTCAATGAATGCATCAGATGTTGGGTTGTTTTTTTGTTTGTTTTCTTGTTTTTTTGCTGTTTTTTTTTTTTTTATTTGGGGGTTCTTTTTTTGTTGTTGTTTTAAAGTTTACTCACCATGGGACATCTTTAGGGCAACCTGAATTTAGGACTTCGTCCTGTAAATCTGAGCTAACATCCATCGTTATGGTAAGAGATGTGAGGATATTTTCTCTCAAGAGGAAGACCTACTCTACATATCTTCTATTTAAAAAAGATAAATGTGAGCATACACTGACTTTAAACTTGCCAGTAAAGTCATCTTCCCACTCCAACTTCCAGGAATTTTACTTTCATGAGGAAGAGAGAAATGATCTGCACATAAACCTTTCATTAGGAATCACCAAGAGCCACATGAAGTAGTTCTACTAATAGATGTCAAAAGACAGTTGACCCAATCTGTCTTAAAGAATCAGTCAATCATGACCCATCACCTGGGAACCTAGAGACTCCAGTTCATAAATGACTGGAGCCAAGCAATTCCTCCACATCACCCTTTAAACCACCTTTTCTCCTTGGGAAGAAAATAATCACAAAACTCTACACAAAAATACTATGAAACATTTTTAATCCTGGAAAGGACCTGATTTACTAGTAACCAAAAAGGGGAAAAGTCAACAGGAATAAAATTCAGTCTTTTAAATCAAGTGGACACATATCAAATTGCTCAACATTGTTAAATGGCATGATGTAATTTATCCATAGAAGACATTGTCTCATCCAGTGGAGAAGCGATTTAAATATGTTTTGACAGAGTGCTAGGAGATATTATAGGCGACAGTGGGCTTAATGTAGTATTTAAGGCTTCAAAACCTGTGCCTTTTAGAAAAATAATCTAGAACTTCTCCTACCATTTATGAGGGGAAAAAAACAACAAATGTCTATTAAAAGTCACAGAAACATGATTAATTTGTTTATGCCTTCAACATTCCACTAAGCTCCACAAAGGCAAGACATAAAATTACAGTGAATTTTATAGCCAAGATTGGTCTGAATATTCTCCTCATGATATTATTTCTTTCATACTCCCTCAGTGCTTGCAATAAAATGACAGATCACTGGGATCCAAAGGGGGAAAGGCAACTCCTTTCCAAAGATGGGACTGAGATGACAAAATCTATTTTATATATCTAAAATTAGAAATAAAATAAATTCTTCAATACAAACTACATTTTCAGAGAGTTCATTAAAATTTAAGGCATTTTTTGACATGTCAGAGATTTTAGTCTGGTGACGGGAGAAGAAAGAAGCTACCTGGGAGCAAATCCCAATTATCTCTATGGCTTGGTACATACACATGGAACACAGCTGAAGATGAAGAGAGGTGACAAGTGACTATGTGGAACCTCCTAGCTCTGTCCAGCCTGGACACCTTTGCCAGGGCTCCTCTGAAAAGAAGCATCTCCCATGTATTGTCATTCTTCTGTTTAAATTTTGATCAAGATGGGAAAGGTTCATCAGCACAGTTACCAGGATAAATGTGAGCAATGCCAAAATATTTTCTTATTAAAAAGCAAGATTTAAGAAACTGAATGTGAAAAAGGTTGATGCTAAGTGACGTCCTTCCTGAATTTCACGACAAACAACAAAATCACGGCAACCTCGCCTATACTGATGAATCCCACAGCAAAGATGTACACAAAAACGAACATTCATCCAACGATAATAGGATGGTTCAGGGTTTCACCCACCAGTCGAGTAACTGCAATTATTTATTTTTCTCCCACTTTCCACCAAAATAAAGACATCACCTGCCGAATCAAAAGTTACAAGTCATACTTCCTTGAAAGGCTTGGGGCAAATCTTACACAAACCCTGCCCCTATGGCCTGCCTCTCAGGCAATCACCAGTCTTTTTAAAAAAATTCTAGATTAAGATCTACAAAGATTACTGTTTATTGAAAACAAACCAGAGCACCTTAGATCATCAGTGGTCAGTAAACTCCCCTCTTTCCCAGTTCTAAAACAATAGAAGTTTACACACAATTAGTCAGAGCCAACTTCATTCAAACTTCTTTCAACAGATAATATTCAAGTCGTGCTAATTCTTGTAACCCATCCATCAGAGGAAGTATCACAATTACCTGGATCAATTTTGAGTAAGAACAACACGTATTTCCTAATTACTTATGGTACAACCACATTCTTATTATGAATACAATTAAATGCAGTTTCCCAAAATTGAGTTCCTTCCTTATTTACTCAAAAAGAAAAACTTCTATGGAAGTCATGATCCTCAATGTCTTAGCAGAAAAATAACCATGTAACTTTGATGCTTGATATAGGGCCAGTGTCCCACTGCCATTTTCTGTGAACCATGAAATTATCCCAATACCTTTGCATAGTTATGTGTATTTATACACAAGCCATCCCACTTTCTTCTTCATGGTTTTGCATGTCATCTGATAAACAAGACTTCTCACTCATTTGAAATTATACTTCCAGCATTACATAAATGGTCTTAAACCATTTGATTTCCATAATACCATCAGCTTATTTGTTTTAATGGAAAGTCTGGCTTCTCTTTGCCTTTTTTTTTTTTTTTTTTTATATTCCTTCAAGTCTTTCAGTCAAGCCCTTCTTACCAGTTCCAACAAGGATGAAATTCCAAAGGCAAATGTAAGTTTAGATAACCCAAACACATGTTTACATGTTTATTCTTCCTGAAAGGTTACTGCTTACTTAGGCTTCTGAAATCAAGAAAGACCCTATGGAAAAATGAAAAATTTATTGTCTTTCTTTGTTCACCATTTTTTAATAGAAAAGACGTTTTAAGGTCAGGAAAATAAATAATGGGAAAAAAACTATACCTTAAAATTTTTCAAATCTTCCCCCAAACTATAAACAAAGAAAAGACATAAATAGAATCACAATGCATATGCTCATATCTGCCCTCCAAAGCACACTTTTTATGTAGAAGTTATAAAGAATAAAAGTTACCCATTAATTATATGGCATGCATCAGCAGTGCGCTGGTGGGCTTAACCTCGATTTTCAGTTATGTCTATTTACAGATTAATCTCTTCCTGAGTTGAGTTTCATCTTCTGTTGAGACCCAAGCCATTTGCTTTTGTATTTTTGGCAAAATACTTGACCATGTGATAAGGCAATCAAACGTTTCAACCTCCTTCCCTTTTCAGCGGCATGGCCCTCTGTGAGATCACCAACGTGCTGGATACGAAGACAGGATCTAAGCTACAGTCCTGTAGAACTAGAGATCAGGTTTCTGTGTTCTTTAGTCTGAAGGCTACAGCACTGTCTTTTCATATATTTGGAGATCTTGAGGATTTCAGCTGAACAGATTCGAAATGGTCTTCTTTTTCCTATGAAGAAAAAAACATTGAAGCAAAATCAACTCATTCAAATTCCACTAAGATTTTAGGATCTTATGGGTCCAGAAGGAAAGTTCTGAAAATCATTTCAATCTACATACCTGCCAGCTGTGATTAGGATTTTACATTTAAAGGAGAGTGGCAGATATAAAACAGATAGCATCCCTACCCTGAAAGATGCTTTTGATGGCCAAGAAATAAGACAGACCATCCAAAAATAGAGGCAAACACATGATCGCAATAGATAACCAAAAAATACAGCTTCACAAAAAAATATTTTAGCGAAGAAACCACTGAGACCAGACCCTTCCTAAGGGGATATCTGACCTGGGTGCTGAAACAGATGACCTTGCCATATGAATTTTGGATAAGAGAACTGACAGAAGCTATATATTCACAAGATGCAAAGAATACGTAGTAAGGAGGACAGCAGAAATAAATAAGGAGAACAGCAGTAAGACACAAGATCCTTTGGGTTTGTTGACATGTTTTAGGAAAATCTGTTGGGTATATATATACCTTCTAAAGATTAAAAACAAGTCATCTTAGACAATAAATCAAAAATTTAACTCAGATATATCATTGCTGACTTTTGTTGCATATTACATTCAAAACGCAGCCTGTTAAAATCAGTACTTCTTTAATGGGGAAAAAGAGAATTAAGAGATTTCTCTCAATGTTGCACTGTGAAAGTCAGGAAGAACTTTCTGGAGTCTGCTGGAATGGAGTGGGGGGACTATGCTTTCAAATAGAATAACAATGAAGTGAACTAGGAGTATTTTAAAATAAAGGAAATAGGAGGGGGGCCAATCCTAGGTGCAAACCAATGTGTGTCTGAAGTAGAGAAGTGAAATGAGAAAATAAAAGTGAGTAAAGCCTGAGTACCTGTCAGAAAAAAATAAGGCAACTTTTGTGCTTTCTCTCATTTGAGTGGAGAAATCCAAGACTTCAGACAAGCTTTCGGGCTACAGGGAAAGGAGGATGTGAAAAACGTCATGTGAACACCACCATCTCACTTTCCCTTGCCTGCACTGAGATGATGTGCCTGCGGGAGGGCCGACCTCACATCTCCTCCGTGCTCTCACTCACTCATTCTCTCGCTCTGAAGAAGTTTGCCTGGAGTCTCATGTTGACCAGATGGCATTCTATTGAAATAACCGTTGATAATTCCAGTGTTTATTAAGCCCCAAGGCACTGCAGGAACAGGACTAAACTTGAGGACAGTAACTGTCTGTCCTCAAGGAGCTTACGTTGTATTGTGGGAAAGAGCATTAGGGTACCAGGAATAAACTAGAAAGGAAATCTGGGATTTTTATGATCTTTCCTTGAGAAGATTTGATTCAATATGTTCCAGAGGGGAGAAGGGGAAGAGGCCTGTTGGTGATCCTAAAAGCTGTGATTTGAAAAAACACTGAAAACACTCTATAAAATCATGTTATTAGCATCCTAGGGCTTTAGATGTTGTGTCCTCTTTGTTCACATGGGATTTTGCTCCTATTATTGAGAAGGTGGGATATACATGTACTTACACGTGTGTGTGTGTGTGTGTGTGTACTTAACACCACTAACTGAGGCTTATAGATGACAAGAACTGTATCTTATTCATTTTTAAAATTCCCAAAACATGGCTCCAGGCCTAGTACATGGTAGGCTATTACTGCTTATGCAAATGTACTGAAATGCTACATTTCAGAAGGGAGAACACCGGATTGAAACTCAGGAGATGGGTTTTTAATTTCTACCTAACCTTCTCTTAGACAAAGAAGGGAACCTCTCTAGATATCAGTTTACTAAAGTATGACATAAAAATGCCATACAAATGATTTTTCTGAGTTCTAAATTCAAGAATTTATTTAAAAACCAACTTCCCCCAGAAGCTTCTCCTTCCCTGTCACAGCCTTATTGCACTCCCTTCTCTGTACTTTAAGGGACCCTGTGTAATGTTCTCATCACACTGGATAATGGTATGTGTCTGTGAAGGATGTTCATGTGTCGTGTACTAATAAACCAGATATTTCTGACATAAGAAACAGCATCTAATTTGACAAAGCACCAAACCCAGGCAAGATGTCTATCAGATAGTATCCCATGAGTGATGATGGAAAGAACAAAAAAAAAAAAAAAGAAAAAAAACAAAAAACCCTGAAGACACATTTTTATAGTCGCTGAGAAAAGCCAAGAAAAGTAAACCCGTAAAAAAAATCTGACACATCCAGTGTATTGGGAGGAAAATATCAAATAAGGTTTGACTTTAGGACAGGAATAAACACATATATAAGATAAGCCAGATCTTAAATGACATAACAGTTAAGAAACTTTACAACCATTTTTGCTCCACAGAGCCAGGCACAACACATTTTTTAAATGGGAGACACAGTAAGACTTGTCTAATGATATTAATAGCAGATTTAGTCATAGCTACATATTGGAAATAGCCCAAGTATTCATCAAGAGGAGAACGGTAAAAAATTTTGGCAAATCCATACAATAGAATACTAATCCTGAATAAAAAGGAATCTACCACCAATTAACACAGGGTAGATACATCTCAAAAATGTTCTACTGAGTGAAAGGAAACTTACACAAAATACTATATACTGTGTAATTACAGTTATATGAAGTTCTAAAACAGACAAAACAAATCTACGGTTTAAAAAAATCACTACAGTAGTTTCCTCTAGGGGGTGAGGATGAGGATCAATTTCACGCAAAAGTACATGAGTCCTCTTTCAGGGATGAGGTTAATATTCTATTTTTTTGATAGGATTTGGGGTGACACAAGAATATGCACTTCCCAAGGGTTCATCGGATTGCATACTTGTTATGTGGGCATTTCACTCTATGTGAACATTGTCCCTTAGAAAAAACTGAAAATATTGAATTCTCTCATCAATTATACATATCCTGCAGTGCTTAGTTGTGAAATGTATTGAATCCCGCAGTTTACTTTGAAATGCATCAAAAAAAATTTATTGGTAAATGAATAGAGAGATAGAGATTTAGAAAGATAGGTAATAAATCAAATAGAGTAAAATTTAGGTGGTGGGTATGTGGCTGTACCGTGGCACAGTTCATTCAGTTTTTTCATAGCATTTTAAATTTTCATTGAAATGATTTTTTAAATTATTATGGCAATTAAAATTGCTATTCAAAACAAAAAGAGGTGCACTCAACGTTCTCAGGGAGAAAGACTTTATCCTCCACCATGCTTCCTGCGACTGTTTTCAGGAATCTTTCAAGCTTTCAATTTTATGGTTATAAAATAACAATGAAGGAGGTACTGCAAGAGGAGGAAACACTTTATAGTTTATTAATACTTGTAATTCCTGGGGAGCCTGGGTGGCTCAGCTGGTTAAGTGTCTGCCTTCAGCTCAGGTCATGATCCCAGGGTTCTGGGTTTGAGTCCCACATCGGGCTCCTTGCTTGGTGGGAAGCCTGCTTCTCCTTCTCCACCTCCCTTTGCCCCTCCCCTTCCCCTGCTTGTGCTCTCTCTGGCTCTCTGTCAAATAAACAAAAATAATCACTTTTCCTCAAAATCTTTCCTGGGGCCTGAATGCTTCCTCCATTACAAGACAATTCCCTCACAAAGAGGGAATCACAAGATCAAATCAGGCAAGAGAAGTCTAAGTATACTGACGATGAGAGATCATTCTCCATGGGTCTTCCTGTTTCTGCAAGTCTTCTGAGGAAGACATTAATTGCCCTTCATGGTACACCATCTTCTCAAAGCTGTTTATATTACAAAAAGCCTTGGAAGAACATAAGAAAAGTTTGCTTGCAGCCCTGATATTGTCTCTCCCTGCAGAGCCAATGGCAGACATGTTTCCTGACTGTTAGAAAAGATTCAGATTCCCCAAGCTAAGCGCTCATTTCTGCAACATAACACACTGTGTATCACCTAGGCCACCTCACTCTGTGGGAGATGGGGCCTGAGGAAACAAAATAAGCATTCATTTTGGCCACTGCTACTGCTATGAATAATAGACTTGTTTTACTTCTGACCCAGGTGACTCCTTTCTTCAAAATGTCCATAAAAGTATGCAGGCTAATTTGTTGGCTAGCAAATATAGTGCAATTTCATAACCATTGTAGTTCCTCGCTGTTTTGCTGATGAGGATGGAAAATTGACAGGTGTCTTTTTAGTAGAATAAGTATGACAGCTTCACACATTGTTTAGCAAGATTTGAGCAAAGTCCATGAGACTTAGCAACGAACATGGTGACCAAACTGTATGATCAACAAGGCAATTAAAGTTCTCCATTTCACTGCCTGGAAGTGGAAAGGAACCGGAGAGGTGGTTGTAGGCTGAATTCTGGGAAGTGGTTCCAAGAGTTCATGGTTCGGCTGCCTGAACGGTAGCCTGGATGCTGTTAATCCTCCTCTGGGGACTTCCTCACCAATCAGGCCATCAATTGCAGGTGTGCTCCTTGGTAACAAGTAGTACTAAAATACAACCTGATGGGAAAAGGTTTCACCCCCTTTCACAAGAGGTTACAGAGACATGCACCAACAATGACCCTTAAAGAAAAAACAGAAACCACTTACGGCCAGAAACTAGGTGAACTGTTATATTTTGGCAGATTCTCTTTGGAGATGATGTGGCAGGAGTCAATGATTATTAAGAATGGCAAGAGCTGGGCCATCCTTGTGCTAAACACCTCTTGTGCTCTATCATGCCAACTTTGGATGTGTTCAAAGATGACAGTAAAAGGTCTCAGAGATTTTGTAGTGGGTCCCCATGGCAGTAACAGAGCTTTGGCCTTCTTTAGCAGATTTCCCAGAAAATCAATAGAAAATCCCCACAGGAAGTCTAGGGAGGGACTGATGAGCATTGGGGCTCTTAGTACCCCAGATTGGGTTACTATGTGGAAGGTCACTGGAGAATGAGAAACTGACCCAAAGGAATCTTAATAAGTTAATATGATCAGCCCCACCCTAGAAGCTTCCCCTATCTTTTATTTTAAAACAAGGCAATAATTTAGATTTATGAA